TAAATAAATAAATAAATAAATAAATAAATAAATAAATAAATAAATAAATAACAAGGCAAAAGTGGAACTTGTGGAAGTGGCCAATCAATTTTTCTGATTTTTAAGAAGTTTTCCTCTGTATATTGTATGTTCAACATGGTCCGTTCATTAACTCCTTTCTCTCTCTCTGTTATTGCTTACTGCTTCTGTTAGTCCCCTTTGTCCCTCAAACATATCTATATAAAGCCACAAATGAATAAAAATATAAAATTTGTCTAAGACTGGCTTAATTTACTTATAATGCCCTGTTTCTTCTGTGTTCCTGCAAAAAACACAAGTTCATTCTAAAGCTTTGTCCGTGTAAAAGCTCTGATGCTGGCTACCTCAGTTGCCTCCTTAAGTCAGCTACTCTGAACAGTGCTACAGTAAAAAGTGATGTGCCAGAAAGCTTCTCTTCAAGATGTTGACTTGGAATTGAGAACTCACAATTCTCCTTTTATTTGATTATTGCTCATTGCTTGAATGTTCACCTGTATATGTTTTTGTTTTCAAAACAATATAGTTACTTTTGAACAATAAAGCAAGAAGGCTCTTCAAGATCCCAATTGTTAAGAAGGAACTGGGAATATGATTCATTAAGAAAAGAAAAACATCCTGGCAAGAGGGAAAAACAAATGAAAACAAAACAAACAAACAAACAAAAACATGTTTCAGAAGCTGGTGAAGGAGTAAGCTCATATTTTGATGAAAAATAAAAGTGTAAAATAGAAATGTTAAAATATTGATTTGGTAAATCACTAACAACATATTTAAGACTGAGTCAATGAGGACTGAGAAAAAGCCAGAGGAGGAGGGAGTTAGTTAATTAAAAACAATTACTGGGTGTGGTGATGACAGCTGGCTGGCAGAAGTTGGAAGAAATCTTATCATATTAAGCTGATTTGTTTCTTTTGTTGAGATACTGAAGTTGCACAGTAAATGCAACCATCTTCCCAATCTTAAATTGGTAACACAGGGGTGTTTCCTATCATGAGACAATTTGGCCAAGCTGGTCTCACACTTGAAATAAACAAAGCTCCCTTCCAGGTTTAAGATGGTAGTCATATAAAATTAGATAGAACTAAATGATTTCAAATTGTTGTAATGGCAAAAGAAAATATAAATTAATCACTAATGTTAAATACAGTTATAAAATTGTGAGCAAATATAACTAGAAAAACTGGAAATTATGAGCCTGTTGTAAGTGGGATGTTTAGAAGTTCACTATACTTGATATTCTCATGAGACATAAAGAGTGAGTATGTTATAAATCAGTAAAATGATACAAAAAGGGAAAAACTAAGATTCTTTAATTGAAAGAAAAACTAGAGAACGTAAAATGCTAAGGATTTATTTTAATTAAAAACTTACCTTCTCTTTTCTCTGCCATGCACCTGTTCAGTTCTTGTATTGTTGTTTTATCAATAGACATATGCACTTTAAGCTCATCCAATTCATCTTGAAGATTCATCCTATAAAAATTTGAGCAATTTACAATTACAAAAAAATGTATAAGTTAAGAAATGGTGTATGCATGGTTTTCATTCCAGCACTTGGGAGGCAGAATAAGGTGGACCTTTATAAGACAAAGGCCAGTCTCATCGATACAGAGAGTTCCAGGACAGCCAAGGTTACTCAGAGAAATTCTGTCTTAAAAAACAAAAACAAGAGATCCAAGATGGCGGCGACCAGCACGCACAGTTTTTGAGCAGCTGAGAAGCTGAAGCACCTGAGTTGATGAGTGGAGGGACAACTAAAGCCAGGGAAACATCGGTGAAGTTTTCTGAACAAGAGGGACCATCACACGAGTTGAGACCTTTAGTATCAGGTCATCCGTGGACTTCTTTGGGGAAGGAGAGAAACAATCCTGTGATCCCCCTGCACTCCCCACTTTTGGGCCTCCTCCTCCTAGGCACAACTGGCTCACAGAGATTCTCAGCACAGAACTCACTGCCTGGGGACTGCAACAGCTGAGGTGGGGTTCCTAGCTCCTCTGCAGCGGCAACCAGCTGTAACATCCTTCTGAGTCCCAGATCCAAGGTACCACCTACCCTGGGTTCCTTGTCTGCCAACAGCCGTATGGACTCCACAGGACCTTTCAGCCAGTGCCTGTAAGGCCTGCCCAACCCCTCAATGGCAGACAGTAGGCTATACAGCCACCAAAATCCAGCAGACCCGCCAAACAAACAAGGCAAACCAGGTGGCAGGCCACCCATGTCTGTGGACCCCTGTTGTAGGCCCCCAGGACTTCCTAGAAGACATCTGGACCTGCATCCCAGTCTGCAGCTACAGCAGGACTCTCTAATATGGTGGCTCTAGCACCACTGAGCTGGTGGAGCTCATCAGTCCTCGAGCATATGACTCAGCAGATCCAATCCAAAGAGTAGAGAGCCCAGAAACCCCGATCCTTGCCTATGTGACCTGCTTGAGAGTGAGTGCAACCTCAAGACCCAGATCCAGAGTCCTCCTAAAGTAGCAGCTAGATATCAAACCCCTCCCACCCACACACCCATGTGGAAAACAGAGGGACTCTTGAGCCATTGAAGCCCCTGCTCTGTGGGCCCAACAGAGGAGTTCAGGCAAAGCTCGCTAGGAGCTCAAACATAACCCAATATGAGTAGCCTGTAGGGCATTGGGGTTTGCAGGGAATTTGCATAAGGAAATTACAACGCAATTATCACCAGTGCCTGCTACATCTACAGCGCATGTGCAAGTAACTCCTTTGATGCCTGCAAGGCAGAGCCCCTCCCACAAACTCAAGGGTTCCACATTCTCTATAACTCTGTCCCTCAAGGCACACTTACACACACACACACACACACACACACACACACATGCTCACCTGCATTTGTCTTTCTGCACAGTGACTTTCCTCCCACAAGTACAGATGAAACAACAACAACAGACAGACTGAAATCACTGGAACTCTGTCATCTTCCTGAAGAATTCTCCAGACAATAGAGAAAGACGGTACCAATCTGAACTGCAGAATCCAGGAACAGTGAAGGTTACAGATAAGCAAATGGGATCAATGAAAGAACACATCCAACATAAATCAGGACATCAAGACTTTACCAGCAAACCCCAAAATTAACGGATAATCCAATTCATCAGAAACAGAGGAAAATGACTTTAAAGCTATGCTTATCCAGTTATTTCAGACACATAAGGAGGAAACAATAAAAGCTCTCAGAGAAATAGCCATACAAATCCAGATAGTTAAAGAGTAAATGACAAATCTCTCAAAGAATTGGCCACCTAAGTAGAGGCAAAGAAAGAGGAAATAAATAAAGTTTTCAAAGAATCACAGACAAATATAGCCAAACAAATAGATGCACAAGTAGAGATACAATTGGTGGCATACGAAGAGGAAACGAAAAAAAAAAAAATGAGACCATCATAGAGAGACAGGAATTCACATTCAAACAGATGAAAAAAAAAAAAAAAAAAAAAAAAAAAAAAAAAAGCAATGGTCCAAGGCATGAAAACAGAATTAGAATCAATAAAGAAAACACAAACTGAGAAAACCCTGGAGCTGGAGAGCCTAGAGAAAAGAACAGGAACTACAAAGGTAAGCATCACCAAGAGAATAAAAAGATGGAAGAGAGGTGCTGAAGATACACTCGCAAAAATTGATACTTCTCTCAAAGAAAAAGTAAAATCAGAAGAGTCCCAAACACAAAATGTCCAAGAAATCAAGGATGCCATGAAAATGCAAAATCTAAGAATAACAGGAATTAATAAAAAAGAAGATTCCAGGCTCCAAGTTCCAGAAAATATTTTCAAGAAAATCATTGAAGAAAATTTTCCCGACTTTAAGAAAGACATGTCCATAAATATAACAGAGGCCTACAGCACACCAAATAGAATAGACCAGAAAAGAAACTCCTCACATCACATCATAGTCAAAACACTCAATCTACAAAGAAAAGATATAAAAGCAGGAAGGGAAAAAGGCCAACTAACATTTAAAAGTAGACCTAAAAGAATCACACCGGACTTCTCATTAGAATCTATGAAAGTCAGAATGCCCTGTGCAGATGTCATGCAGATTTTAAGGGAGCACAGATGCCAACCCATATTACTATACCCTGCAAAGCTTTCAATCAACATAGATGGAGAAAACAAAATATTCCATGACAAAACTAAATTTAAGCAATATTTACACAGCAAACCAGCCCTACAGAAGATACTAGAAGGAAAACTTTAATCCAACAAAAACAACTATACCCAAGAAAACATAAGATACAGATAATTTCCAAACAAAAATTAAAAGAAAACAATGAATCACAGTAACACCACCAACTCCCAAATAAAATGAACCTAGGTTCCTTTATAGTCACTATTATCTATCAACATCAATGGACTCAACTTTCCAATAAAGAGACACTAGCAAAATGGGTGCAGAAATAGGATCCAATATTCTGCTGCATCCAAAAAACACACCTATGCAACAAAGATAACAACTACCTCAGAGTAAAGGGATGGAAAAATGTTCTCCATGCAAATAGACCCAGAAAACTAGCTGGGGTAGCAATTATAATATCTAATAAAATAAATTTTCAACCAAAATTAATCAAAAAAGATAAGGAGGAACACTACATTCTCATCAAAGAAAAATTCAACACGTGGACATTACTTTTCTGATCATCTATGCCCCAAACACAAGAACACCTACATTCGAAAGTGAAACATTATTAAAACTTAAATCACACATCAATCCCAACACCTTAATAGTGGGAGACTTCAACACCCCACTCTCACTAAGGGACAGATCATCTAGACAGAAGCCAAATAGAAAAATAAAGGCACTTACAGAGTTCCTAACTCAAATGGACCTAATACATGTGCACAGAAGTTTTCATCCAAACTCAAAAGAGTATACATTCTTTTCAACACCTCATGTAACCTTCTCCAAAACAGACAATATAGTTGGTCACAAAGCAAGCCTCAACAGATACAAGAAGTTTGAAATAATCCCCTGTATTCTATTTGACCACCATGGACTAAAGCTGGACCTCAACAACAATGGAAATAGTAGAAAGCATACAAGCACATGGAAAATGAACAACTTGCTACTCAATGACAGCTGGGTTAAGGAAGAAATGAAGAAAGAAATTAAAGACTTCCTAGAATTCAATGAAAATGAAGGCACTACATACCCAAATTTATGGGACACAATGAAAGCAGTGCTCAGAGGAAAATTCATAGTATTAAGTGCATTCAAGAAGAAATTTGTAACATCTACAAGCAATTTAATCGACCAACTGAAAGCCCTAGGGGAAAAAAAAAAAAAAAAAAGCAAAAACACCCAAAAGGAGCAGATGGCTAGAAATAATCAAACTCAGTGCTGATATCAATCAATTAGAAACAAATAAAACTATTCAAATAGTCAACGAAACCAAGAGCTGGTTCTTTTAGAAAATCAAAAAGATAGTCAAACCCTTAGCCAAACTAACTAAAAGCAGAGAGAAACTATCCAAATCAACAAAATGAGAAATGAAAAGGGGGACATAACTACAGACACTGAGAAAATCCAAACAATCATTAAGTCGTACTAAAAAAGCCTACATGCCACAAAACTTGAAAATCTAAAAGGAATGGACAATTTTCTTGATAGATTCCATCTACCAAAATTAAGTCAAGATCAGGTAGAAAGATGCAATAGTCCTATATCCCCCAAAGAAATAAAGGCAGTTATCAAATGTCTCCCACGCAAAGAAAGCCCAGGGCCACACTGATTCAGTGCAGAATTCTACCAGACCTTCAAAGAAGTGCTAATTCCAATTCTCTTCAAACTATTCCACAAAATAGAAACACAAGGAACTTTACCAAACTCATTCTACGAAGCCACAGTCACCTTGATACCTAGACCACACAAAGACCCAACAAAAAAAAAGAGAACTTCAGACCTATTTCTCTTATGAACGTTGATGAAAAAAATACTCAAAAAACACTTTCAAACCAAATCCAAGAACACATAAAATATATCATTTACCATGACCAACAATGTGACATCCCAGGCATACAAGGGTGGTTCAAAATACGGAGGAAATCCATCAAAATAATCCACCATATAAACAAACTGAAGGAGAAAAACCACATGATCATCTCCTTAGACGCTGAAAAAGGATTTGACAAAAATCCAACACCCATTCATGTTTAAAGACTTAGAGAGATCAGGGATACAAGGCACACACCTAAACATAGTAAAGGCAATATACAGCAAGCGTATAGAGCCAACATCAAACTCAATGGAGAGAAACTTAAATCAATCCCACTGAAATCAGGGACAAGGAAAGGCTGCCCACTCTCTCCATATCTCTTAAACATAGTACTTGAAGTCCAAGCTAAAGCAATAAGACAATTAAAGGAGATCAAGGGGATACAAATCAGAAATGAAGAGAACAAAGTTTCACTATTTGCAGATGATATGATAGTATATATGAGTGACTCCAAAAATTCAACCAGA